GGGGGAGGTAATAAAATGGGTTTTAGGTTTTCAGGTTGTCATGTAAACACGTTTGTAGTCCTCTCGCATTAAATAATAATTATCAATGCCAACTTAAAAAAATAATAATGACGACACAAACATGAGATTCTGCTATTATGTCCTAAATGATGATTCTCTTTGTCAATGTCCAGAATTCTATTTCCCGACTTTGTCTGCTTCTAAAAGTTGGCTATCTGCTTAATGCTCTCATTTGTTTTCTTTTCTTTTTCCAAATATATTATAAAAATGGTACCAGAGCAGATAAAAAGATTGAATCGAGAGGAATACATTTCTAAAGGATAAAAATTGACCTTCAGTTTAGAGCCATATTATGGCTTTTTTACTTTCAAGAGAGACTGTGCGAAAGTGCAAGGTAAAGCAAAAACATTTGAAAATCAAAACTCGCGTGTCAAACATGGTGACGCATTATCAGTAAATGTACATATTTATATTTTATATACAGCATGAATAAAATTAGCATCTACCTGACATCACATAATCATCTTCATGCATCTTAGAAAAAAAGGTCTCATTCTAACTGTCTGTCTGTCTGCCTGTCTGTCTGTCTGTCTGTCTTTCTGTCTCAATCTCCTCTCCTCTCTCTCTCTCTCTCTCTCTCTCTCTCTCTCTCTCTCTCTCTCTCTCTTCTCATATTTCTCTCTTCTCTCATATATATCTCTCTCACTGTATATATTATATACATACATATGATATATCCACGAAGATAAAACATTATTTTTTCTTCAGGCATCCCCTGTCCAGCAGGAGAAGCTTACAATAATCATGGGGTTCGTCGCTCTTCAGGTCATGAGTAATTATGACTTGAAACAAAAAAAAGACACGTTCTTCCTACTACACCGCCCCTCCCCCAAACTAAAAGAAATCCTAAAACAAAACAAAACACGACAAAAAAGGATCCCCCCCCCCCACACACACACTTTCCACATCATTCTGCTTTCCATTATTTCACCTCATGGATGGACAATATTTTGGTCTTATCGCTCTTTTTCGTTTTTAAATGTAGGTGTTTTTACGTCCCCTTAGACTCGTGCAGGGCGGCGAGGTTCCCGATTGTTGAAAGCTAGGAATCGTAGGAATCGACTCCGAACCCAATTACTTACTTTCTAATGATGTGATTTCTTCAGGTGGTTACCTGGTTGGCTCCCAACATTTTCAGGACTTGGGATAAACTTGATTTCGGAACACTACGAAGCATCAACTTTTATTTTTCAAAAATAAATCCTTAAAAAAGATTTTAATGATTGGTAACCGTTCGTTTACATAAAAAGGAGTCGGAACTTTTCTTCCGTAGCATTAATCGTGGGAATCGATTCGGGAATCGACTCTTCACCCAGCTCTACCTTAGACACAATATAGACTACATGTATTCAGAAGGCGGGCTATTGACCCTGTGGATCAGAGCTAACTCGAGGAGGGAGGGACACAACATCCCAGCAGAAAGATCGAGATGCTTGAAGGTTAAAAATTTCTCCCCACTTGGGAATCGAACTCGGGTCTCGTCTCCTGAGTGTGACAGCCAAGTGTTTATCTGTTACATCACGGACGCTGTTGCTTTGATTTAAGTAATGCCGCCATAAAGGAAAAACAACTCAGGTATGGGGAAATGGGACCCGACACACAATTAGAAAATAAATGAAAAATGAGAAACTTTTAGTGCTAGAGCGAGCAGTGGTTGTAGAAAAATGCAAGGCCCACGACAGACACACTGCCATCTCTTACCATGTAAGATGTAAAACTGACAATCAAAAGATCACCAATTTTCATTGACCAGTGTAGAGAATTCACCCTAGCCAACTAAAAAAATACAACAACAATTGAACGCCCCTGCCCCCCCCCCTCCCG